GACAGAATATTGTTTTGTATTTTGACATGTACCTGTACCTGTGACCTGTACCTGTACCTGCGACCTGTACATAGAAACGAAATAAATTAATATATCTATAAACATCTCATAAGGCAAGGCAACGGTGGTGGTCCTGTGGGTTAACGCGCTGGACTACATGGGAAACATTGATGGTAGACCGGGTTCGAATCCTGGCTAGACCGAAAATTATTTTCGGTCAGACATTTAGTGGCTGCCTACGGTAAAGTGCAAATTAATAGAACAACAACAACAAAAACACCTTAAGGTATTATAAGCGGGCGTTATAGATCATAACGTATTTCGTTTCCTAGGTATTATGGATCTATAATAGTAAAGTAAAAAATAAATTAACGTACGAAACTCAAAAGGTGTGTGTTTACAATGAAGTTAATTTTCCTACGTGTAATCACCAATGACATTGATAATCAAAGACTAGTTCAATCTGTCCGTCATTCATAGTTAATACTGAAATTAACGCACGGATTTCTAAGTAGAAGTTACTTCAACTTTTCCGTGTATTACGTTAGTTTTCTTAATTTTTAAGTGGATGTAAACAACTGGGCAATGGACGATTGCGCGCCGCGGTCAGAAAATTTTTCAGGTACCACTAGTACCATGGGACGATAGCGCGCCGTACCTCTTTTACAACATGCGACGATTGCGCGCCTACCTCATTCTATGGAAACTAGAAAAAGTTGAAGGAAAATAAATAGTATGAAGAGGAAACATTTATTTTATTTATTCACAAACTCATAGGACACGCTTCTTATGAATTCGAAGGGTCTTATTTTCTTACTTTTATATAAAGTATTCACATTGTTGATATAATCCTGAAGTTTTTTATAATTGCGGTTTCTGCGGGACACTGGTAAACGTATGCTGTTTATTTTAATATAAGAATTCAACTGAACATCCATAAGACAGCCATACATCTAAATATATCTGATGGGAAAAATAAAAACCTGAATTGCAGTAGCTATGAAATGACTCACAAGCCTTTGTCGTTCTTTGATTAGTACTATCACAAGCCCATATTTCTGGCCGGAAAAAGAAACTCATCGGAAATATAATTCTCAACCAAATAATCTGCATAGTTAGTGACACGCGCATTTTGGGGAATGTGAGCGTACAAATCTTCAGTAAACACATTGCCAACTTCGGCCGGACCCAAAAACCATAAACCAAATGTTCAGCATAACCACAACTGTGTTAAATGAAATCCACATCCGATAATCTCAGTATTTTGCCAAACTTTCTTAATATTGAGATGGATGGCTCTCTCAAAAACACATACTACACAGGGTGATTTACGTACCCTGTGCAGTAGCTTGCAAAAAAATAGGTGCTATATCTACTAATCCACCTGCAAGCTGGATAACTTTTAATGCTGTGTAAATCACGGCAAATTATAAACCAATGTAGGTAACCCCTTGGCCCTTGCCAGGATAATTATTACCAGGTATGCACCTAATTTGCATTCCGCGCGTAATCGTCCCCTGCCCTTTTGGGTAATAAACCGCAGATATCAGTATCAGGTACCTTCGGCGCGCAATTGACCTGTACCCAAACAACCACATATAAGTACATGATCTTCAACTTTTCTTTATTATTAATTTTCCGTACGTTGAGTTAAGTTAAGTGGATGTAAATGACTCTTAAGTCCTGGAAGCGTGTTCCAGCGGGAGGCTTCTTGAGCCTATAACCAATTCTGGACTTCCCCTATTTTATGGCTTATCGTAATGCCAAAGAAAGGTTCTGGTCGAAAGATTGGTGTTGCAGCTCCTTGTCTTGCTACTTGGCCCTTCATTTCATTCCCCTCGACTCCTTCGTAATATGCCCCGGTACCCATGATAGGTTGAGTCTATTGCGAGACGCCAGTTGCTTTAGGAGTTGTTTACAGTCCCATACCAGTCTGGACTTAGTGACAAAGCTACTCTCTCTTAGTGCTGCCTGTCGGAATTTTTATAGGTAATAGATCTTCGCTCTTCGCAGGTCTCTTTCGAGACTTTCTAGCGCAAAATTCTGTTGCGAATATTTACGCTTGAAATATGGTTGGGCCTTCTCCTAGGGCTGTTGAAAGTCTACGAAGTGGGCCGTATACCCCTGCTCCAGTCCCTTGCTCTGTGTTCGATCCGTCTGTATACCAGACAAATGACCCATTCGGGAATACACAGGTTACGATACTTTCTTTCTTGCGACCCTCGATAGTCACTTTGAGGGAGTGTCCAAATTCCTACCTTTGTCGAATGTGCGGCAACTGGTTTTGTCTTAACATTTATGCGTTCTTTCATTATGCTCATGTGGCCTACAAAGTCCACTTCCTTTAGTTTTAGGGACTGCACTATTCTCGAGGCTTCCATGTAGGCCGCTTTCCCCACTATTAAATCTAGAAGGAGGCGGGGAGGAACCTCCATTGCGGCGGTTGGACAGGTGTTCATTGCTCCTGTAATCCCAAGACATGCGTAGGTTTGTAGAGTTGCCAATCGGTTTTGCGTTGTCTGTTGTTTTACCTTTGGCTACTATACTATTGCAGCGTAAGTGACCATAGGTCTGACATACATGGACTTTTCCTTTGTTTACTAGAGAAGTTCTAGCTTTGTATGATTATAGTAACTGCTTGAAGTTTGTTTTCGAGACCACCGGTGCAAATGGCGGTCAGTCATTGATTTGAGTAGGTACCAGCAAGTTCACATTGAATCTAATCCAAAACACTAGAGTAGAGAAACATTTCATTCCTTTCAGAGCTGGTCTGTAGAGATTTTGGTCCCATAATAACCTAATTAAATATCTATTCGTTTTTAAAATAGACTATGGGCGGAATTACCCAATTCCTTAAGTCTTAATTTTTGTGCTTAATTCTTTATCTTTAAAAACACCCATGTGGTGAATTGAACTTTTTAAGAATTAAGAATTAGGGACAAATATTAGGAATTAAGGAATTGGGTAATTCCGGCCTAAATCAAAACAATCAGCGAAACGTGATCACTGAAGTACAAAAAAATTGCGCAGTACCTATTGGCTTATTCGGTGGCTAACATCGACGTCTCCGAAGTTTTCTTAGGACCATCCACCTTCAAAACAAATAGACATTAGATCATGAGTTTGGTAATCTCGAGGGCTTTCCATGCAAGAATTAAGTTAGGCACATGGACGATCTTCTACTGTGCCAGAAACTATACGAGCTTCTGAGGGATCTCTGTATCTGTAAGTTTGGGAGGGTGGTATGCCACAGCCTTAGGCCACATTGTGCATCTCCACAAGAGGAGAGGTCATCTTTAGCTCATCATTCAGCCTAGCGATTCAATGTAGGCGATGACGTCGCCGAGGGAGGTGCCTCTGATCTCTTCTAGTGATGATTACGATTAGCCTAATCTGGCTCTGCGTATTGTGCAGTCACAAAGAATATACTCTATCGTCTCGTCTTCTTGATTACAAGCCCTACACAAGGGTGTGGTAGTGAGATGCAACTTAAACAAAAATTTGTTTAACTGTCAGTGGCCAGTCAAGATGCCTCTTATTAGGCGTAGCCTTTTCCTGGTCAATGACAGCTTTTGGCTCGCTGCAGCTTTATCTGGATAGCTTAGCAGTTCCTTGGATAAGTTGCAGCCAATCGTATCGTCCCAGCGTTTTTTGAAAAGGGTATCGGAGCGTTTTTTATCATATCTTTGGCTGACGACATGGTCTGCTATACGAAGGGCTCCGGTCTAGAAGGCTGCAGCCCGGCGACCCTCCTAGCTAGAGTGTCGGCAGCCCGATTGCCTTTGCTGTGAACATGTCCTTTGATCAAGCTGACTACCACCGTATTGTTGATCGACGCCTATGTGAGTGTACGTTGGCGATGTTGTACTAGTTCTGACGTGAGTCGCGGTTCAGATAGTATTCTCCGCATCGCGAGCCTGTTTCAGTTTTGGAACCATCAGTGTAGATGTTACTTACCCCTGCCACTGTGTTGTTTCCAATGCCTTCCATGTTGATTTCATAGTACTTTTTGAAGACGAAACATGGTGTCGCAGAGTCCACTCTGGCCTCTAACAATGGAAGCGAGTTCGTTACCTCATGCGGGCTCTCTGCAAACCGACTTCTGCACCTGGTTTTATTCCAATAGTGCGGAAGCTCATCATTGTGGTTAAAACGAAAAACGACCTCCTTGACATAAGTATCCAGGGGCGTCAAACATACTTGCAAAGCCCTAGTTGGTGTGGTTTTCATTGCATCAGTTATGTTGAGGCATGTCATTCTTTGAACGTGGTCTAGTTTTCGGCTTATAGTAGTCTGTTCGGCATTATGTCCCCAGACAATGGCCCCATAGGTAAATATAGGCCTGATGATGGTTGTGTAGATCCACATAACTACCTTGGGGGAGAACCCCCAGGTCTTACCGATAGTACGTCTACACTGTTCATAGGCGATATATGCTTTCTGAATTCTCTTAACAATATGACAGTTCCATGTTAGTTTACAATCAAGTATCACCCCCAGATATTTGACTTCGGCGGGAAACCTTAGTTCGTTGTTTAAGAGTCTGGGTTCTGTCGAAAGTACCAGTTTCCTCTTTCTTGTGAATAGGACCATTTCAGTCTTTTTAGGATTGATGGACAGAGTGTATTCCGTGCACCATCTTTCTATAATTCGAAGAGCATATTGCATGCGTTCGCAGAGCGAGTCCTCGAATTTACCTCTATGCAAGATGTCATCTGCGTAAGCTATTGTGTAGTGGTTGTCATTGTTTAGGCGTAAAATAAGGATGTCCAGAACCATGTTGCACAGAAGAGGTGATAGCACACTTCCCTGCGGGCAGCCTCTTTTGACCATTCCTTCAATGTTGACGTCCTGCACATTGCACACTTATTTGTACAATTCTTTTGGAGGGATGCTGGTTACTTGGTACATACGTATACAGGATCTCAAGTTGAGCTCACGCTATCCAATGAATACATACAAATAATTCGATTTTCCGCATACGGGTTGATCCAAGTGATATGCGCAGATGCCTTCACGTACAATGCAGATACACTTTGGCTTCAGATTTAAAGGTGCCACTACCAAGTAAGTTGGCCTGAAAGGCATCACAATCTCTTTAGATGGCTATCATTAAACTTCTATTGGGAAATAATATGAAAAAAAAAAACTTCCTATTGGAGAAATTTCTGATGTTTTTGATACATCAATAAATATTCTGAAACCTATGCAAGGTGTACTTATCCATTTTGTGATACCTCCAAAAATAGAACGACAAAACTCAATAAATATCTGAACGACCAACCCTACGTATTGAAAATTTTATTGTAGCATGTAAGTCCTGTTTAATTTCAAGACTTCAAAATGATTTGAATAGGGGGACTAAGCTAAATTTATACTAAATATTTCGATCAGCAGATGTATCACGAATTAAATATCTGTCACGTAAAACAATTCCATAGCAGCATGCAGCATGAAAATAAAAACTTACGCAAACACCTTTTTACTAAAAATATTTTCATTCTTGTTATACGGAAAAGGCTTAAAGTCTATCAAAAACACAGCAACGACAAGGCAATAAGCTCCTGTTTAGATTAGAACTTAGAGGCAAATTACATCGTTTTCTTTGTAGAATTTGATGCCTAATTTAAAACGAGGGGAATATTAATCGAGCTCCCTTCTATAGGAATCAATCAGGGGTGAAAAGGGCCCCCTAGAACGGCAACACGCATGTTCGTTTTCTTAGGCATTATTAATTAAAAATTTTAGATTTTTTCCATTAGGTGCCTTTTCTTTCAAGACTTTCATATTGTCACAGATTCCGGGCCAACTAAAACTAATCTACAATGAATAACAACTTTTTCCGAAAATTATTCAATACTATTGACATAGGTATTTTGATAACATTTCTAAAAGTGAACAGATGGTCTTCCGTTCATAGAACGGTTTTTGACGTGTTGGAACAGACCTATATTTGAATAAAAGGATAAAATAATTTCATTAAAAACTGCGAATATATTCAGAAGTGGCTCCTTTTCCGTTTCGATCAGTGTATTCCAAAATTCTAGAAAGTTGTTTGTGATAATTTTGTTCTTTGAATAATTTTTGATTTTCGGAAAAATAGTATGATTACCTCGTAGGAAAGTCCACATTCCGGGGCTCCGGTATTGCCAGTCTCGTCTTGCGTCTAGACAGGCAATCTCTACGGTGATCCGGGAATGTTCAACCTCTCCTAGGCAAACAATTGTTGAATAAATTGGGTTTATAAAAATTTACTGATCACTTATTTAAAATCAACGATATAAATTCCCCGAATAATCGCTCTAGACGTAATAAACAAGTGGAATCATAGATTCTGGTCGGACTCTTGATGAAATTTCGTAACAATATAATGATATCTGCACTGTAGATAATAGTAGTAGCAACTTTTTTTAAAATTTTTAATCTTGTAGTTAGACTACTGGGACCTTCAATTTGAAAACTATAATGAAGAAAAATATAAGTCGACAGTAAATAATGTGGTTACTAACTCATATACTAGTACTAGTTCATTGGAATAACTAATAAATCGATTTTTACAACTATTGCATTTAAAAATAGTTACAATGTTAGTAATTTTAATTTGAGGTCAGAACTAACCAATTGATTTATGGTCAGTTTTTGTGCAGTTAAAACATGTATAAGTAAGAAGAGTCCACAAGAGTATTGTCGTTAAAAGTGGCGTTAAAAAGGGTAATGACGACGACGCGACGGTTTTTCGTTCGAGGATGAAGCCGTTGTGCCCTCTAATTAAACCAGCATTCTTTGGAATCGTAAAATGCGAGAAATATTACTATCGTTTAAAGATACGTATGTCCGTGTCCATTCGCGTGTATTATTCATTTTTAACGTTATGCTTTGGTTTGTAATTTTATTGTTTTGCGCGATAATTGCGAAAGACAGTTTAGCTTGTACATTATGGTTTACGAATACTTATACATTGTTGTCTTAGCTAATAAACATAATATTTACAACCATTTCAAATTTTCTATTGGGTCTCTTAACTATCTGCCTGTTCGTTCACACACATCGATTTCCGTGTCGGATTTGGGCCGTATGTCAACAGTGTCAAGTGATTTCAGCTATCCTAATTCAATTTACTGGAAGAATCGGAATCCTCGACGTAAATACAACTTCACCTTTTCCCATTGACGTTGATGTGACCTTTTCAAGTGGATACGTTAGGTTCATATCTAGCATGGACCAACAATAGATATAATATGTGATTCACAATTTATTATGTCTTTAACACGATTTTTTTTTGAAACAATAAGTTAGTTTTTTTTTGCAAAAATAACCTGTTCAAGGTTACCTATACACTTCTCAGAAGCAAATGACTTAATCCATCTGTGGCTATTTGATTAATATAAGTATGACATTAAATCCAATGACGCGATGCCTCTGGGTTGGTATTAAGTCTGGGGTCTTGGTTATGATACGAGTGGCGAGGTTTCATTAAAAAAGTGCTTGTCATTTCGGCAAATGGGCACAACCCGCTACTTAGTCGGTAGCCAGTCTCACTCGGGGACAATAGCAGCCTTTCGACAACAATGTCCTGCGTTACTAAAACAAAACGACATCAACGTTTTTGAGAACTACAACTTTAATAAGTTATGCCTTTTCAACGGTATGAGGTTTCTTTTTTACTAGAGAGATTTAATTTCGAGAATGGTTGTTTGCAGTATAAATAAATAAAAAACAATAAGGCAACTACTAAATTTAATTAATTCAATATAATATCAGTATTTCCATCTCTCTATAATAAAATGAGTGTATTAAATGCAAATATCTGTTACTGATAATAGTACATTATACACCCAGGGACTAAAGTGGTACTTTTAATCCCGAGACAAAAAGTTTATAGCCCGACCGAAGGAAGGGGTATATTATTTCCCGGGCATTAAATAATACAGGGAATAAAGGAGTTATTTTATTCCCTTTTTTCTTTAATCCCCGGGAAATAAAGTGAAATTTAATCCTGGGGATTAAAATACTCACTCAAAAGGGTACTTTTAATCCCTGAAGTGCATAAGTACTTACACACCGCCATCTAGTACCTAATGGATTTATTTTTAAAATGTTATAGGTTTCTTTAACTATTTTCATTATTCCTCATTGATAGTCATTAATATTTTTATTTGAAGAAATTATGTTTATCTTGCTTTCAGCAAATGAGCATATTTCTGTCTTTCTCTAACTTCTGATTCTGAAATGATTATTTTTAACCTGATGACCTAATTAATTAGTGATTTTGTGTTTCTAACATAACCTTAAATTTAAATCATTATAATTTGTAAACAATTAGGATGATTCTAGTGTGTTTTTATCCATTTCCACTTAATCACCGTGGTGTTTCATTAATGAAGTGAGCCGGTCTTTTGTGTGTGTCGAGTGTTGTCTTCTGTATGGTTCAATGGTTACTACGGAGTTAAGTGTTAAAAAAATACAAGACTGGTTTTCTTCAAGGGATTTGGTTCTAAAAAGGTCTCTTTTCTGGCAGCGCCTGAACAGGCAAGTCGATTTTTATTTCTGTAATTTTTTTCCCTTCAGATTTCTAGATTTTCCCTTAATATTTTTCGTATTATTTCACCATCAGTGTCTACTATCCACTGCTGGGTTTTTGCATGGAAAATTAAATTGATTATTGTTTATTGCAAACTGTAGGAAATCGAAAAAAAATTGATACTTTTTTTTTTTATTTCGCCCAAATATGATTATTCCGGAAGTTATACAAATATTAAGTTCTGTATATATAGATATACTGAGCATGTGCAACGTCACTAATTTATATGATAAGTGACGTCATAGACATATTTCATACCGTTGTATCTCCGTCAATTTTTGACTAAGAAGAAAAAGAAAAAAACACGTGTTGACTTATTTTTCATGGACTATCGAAATCAGCAATAAAAAAATTTGATGCAAGGGGCCTATTGTAAACTCGGAAAAAAAATATTTCAAAATTCCTTATATTAAGGGCTTATCTGAGAGAGTGGCGGGTGTAATCTCGGATTAGAATTCAAGAGTGGCTTTCAAAAGTGAAAATACCACTAACACGTTTTGTTCTAAAATTAAGGATAAAATTCAAATGGAATTGCAGAGTGGAGTGATTTATAAGATACCATGTTCCGATTGCCAAGGGGTATATTATATAGGTCAAACTGGCAGGTATTTGAAAACCAGACTCACCGAACATGAGCGAAGCATAAGACCAACAAATTACGTATCGTCAGGAAAGACTGCTCTAGCTGAGCATTCGTTCAATAATTTTCACAAGTTTAACTTCAGCAGCACTCAGATCATAAGTAGAGAGACAAACTACAAAAAAAAGAATCTTATCAGAAATGATCAATATTAAAAAACATAAAAAAGTGTCAACAAAAAACAAGACACAGATGATCTGAGTGGTAGCTATTATAACTTAATTAGCTTATTGCCAAAAAGGTAAAGAAACTGTACCTATCGCTGAATGTGTCTTTCTGGTTTATACCATGTAACCCACAACAAAAATAGTTTGTTACCGAAAAATGCATCATCCTTTTCTGCTGACTTGCTCATTTATCGGTTAAAAAAAATCATAGAAATAAACAAGCACACAAAAGAGGATCGATAGTTCTGATTTAGTTGTTGACTGGTGATTGTCCATATATATACCTACGTCTTTAGTATTCACTTATGTTCCTTTTAAATGTATCTATTTATTAGGATTTCAACCAAAGAAACCTAGACTTAGGTAAGTTGGTGTAATGTGTTTTTTTTTTAAATCAGTTTCCTGACAGGTATCAACAATTCTCTATTATAATTTTTTTTTTACTAAACTTGTTATTGTTCTATATTGTTTGTTTGATTAATGTTCCTATTGTGCTTTAAATTTAAAAATATAAACCCAAGATGTTATATGTTTTAACAAATACCTAATAACAACTCTATTCCCTTTTTAGTGTCCTGAGGATGACTTAATATAAGTCGAAACAGGTTTCTGTTTTCATTTTGACCCCATCCAACAATTTTCCTACATTTTAATTTTTTATCTATTGTGACCTCCATTT